AGAGCCCTCAAGACGGCCCAAGTGCCGCCCAAGACGGACCAAGAGGCCCCAAGACGGGCCCAAGAGGGACTCAGGAGGGATACCGAGAACTCAAAAATGGAGCCCTCCGTCCCAGAAGGCGCCCAGGAGGTCCCAAAGAGGCCCCAAGAGGCCTCCAAGAGGCCCCAAGATGTCGCCAAGAGGCCCCAGGAGACTCCCAGGAGGCCCAAAAGAAGCCCCAGAAGGCTTCAAACATGTCTCCCAGGCGCCCCCGAACGGCCTCTCAACAGACCCCAAGAGGCCCCCCAAAGAAGCATCTTGACGACGACTCTATTTCGCCCCATCGAGAGACGACCCCCAGGGAACTGCTTCACCATCAAAACTCCCCACGCAACGCGTCCGAACGACACCCGCCCCCAAGAGCGCAACATGGGCAACGAACACACAGACAAAAACCAGCGATGCCACATCACGGGCCGGCGGAATGAGCGAAGCGATTCAATAGGCCCCGCATTCGCAATTCCCGAGGGGGGATTTTGCGCGCCCATGTGAAATAAATAAGAATTGCGCGGCCGCAATAGGCGAGGCGCCCACCGACTCCGCGCGCGTGTGTCTCGGATATGTTTCGTTCAATTTGTTGCCCATTTATTCCACAAAGAACATGGCAAACAAACGTGCAAAATATGTGGCCGGGTGGGCGCCTATTTCTCCACCAAAAAATGGTTAGCGAATGCGCGAAGAATAGGCTTGCCCCGATCGGTGAAACTTCAAGAACAATAAGCACGAAATGACGCGCGCCCCGGGGCAGCCGGCGGGGACGAAGTGGAATGGCGCGACGCCCGCGGGAGGCCCGCGACGGAATGCGGCTGCCCCGCGGAGCCCTGCCCCCCCCCCACCACTGCCCCGCGCGCCCTTGGGTTGAGAGCCCGGCCGCCCCCCGGCGCCGCGCGGGCGGGGGGGCGGGCGGGGGCGCGACGCCAGGCGAGGGGCGCAGCCGCGCGGCTCAGCAGACGACGTCTGCGCCGCGCCCCCCCCCGCGGCAACGCGCCCGAAGAAGTTTCGCCGACATAAGGCGGCGCCTCGAGGGCAATGATCCCGCGGATAAAATGCCGCGGCCCCGAAGGGGGCTCCAGCCGCCGCCCCTGATGGGCCGAGGCCCCCAACGGCGGCGGCCGCGCGCGGCGCTCGCAGGCCCCTCGAGCATTTGCCCAACCGAAAGCTGCAGTGGCAGAGGCTGCGCGCCCTACTTGCACGCCCCTCGCACGCTTCGCGGCCCCACGGGCGACTCTGTCGAGGCCGCGGTAGCAGAGGCCGCGCGCGGCACTTGCACTCCCCAGGCCCCGTCAAATCAATGGCCCCGGCGGCGTCGGCCGCGCGCGGCGCCTGCCCGCCCCTCGCGCGTTCGATGGCCCGAATGAGGAAACCCGCCAAAAAGGTCCCAGCGTCAGCGTCCGCGCGCGTACTTGGGGACCGCTCGCGCGTGTCGCGGCCCCATGGGGACCTCCGCCGAGGGCCCCGGAGACGGCGGCCGCGCGCGACGCCTGCAGGGCCCTCGCGCAGTTCGCGGCTCGACGGGGGGTCTCGCCGAAGGCCCTGGCGGCAGCGGCGGGGCGCGGCACATTCGCGCAACAGTCGCGCGTTGCTGGCGCCGCTCGCGCGGCGGCCCTGCTTCAGTCCGGCGCGCCCCTGTCGCGCGCCCCGTGGCACCCCCAGAAATTCCACCAGAAACTCCGATCAGAACTGCGGATGGGCGGGCCCTTCGCCAATAATGCGTTGGACACGCACAGGCGACGCCGGGCCCCGCGCCGCGCCAATTCACGGCGCGCCCCCTCTGCGAGAGACCCCAAAACCGAACCATGGACGCCGACCCCGCGCGCCGCTCCAGAACGCATGATCGCCCCGGGCTGCGCAAGGCAAGGCAATCCTGCGCGCCGCAAACACCGCTTGCGCTTGGAGCGCTTACACCTTATAACATACTGCCATTGAGTTACATATGTCGAATATACGTTGTTGTCCACATATTTTCGCAACCTCTAGTTCGGCTACTTTCAAATTATCCAGCATACCAGCGCCTCTCCATATTACCTTCATCCTAAGCCGAGGGCGAGCCGCCGCCCGTGGACCGTGTCCAAGCTGCAGTGGATACCGTTGTCGGAGCCCGCGAGAATGATCGCCAGGTCGTCGACGCAGAACTGCAGCCGGCCCTCGGACGCCGGCACCGCAGCCTGAGCGGACAGGGCCCAGAATGACCCGACCCGGCTGCGCACGCGCGGGCTGGCCTTCCCCCCGAAGACTAAGACCCGCCAAACGATGGCGCGGCCGTGCCTGGCCAGGGGGGGCTCCTCGAGGACCGCGACGTCGTGGCGCCTCTCGTTCTCGCGCAACGGCATGCTCATGGAAACGTCGAGGCAGTCGAGCACGAGAACACCGACCCGATGAAACCGAGCGGGCGCCCCTACGCGTTGCCCGAACGAGGCGAGGTCGCCCGCGTGATTGACCCCCCCACGGAAACACGACGCGCTCGCGCGTCGTGGGCGTCTGGTCCTGCATGGTCCTGTTCTTGAACGTCCCGTCCCGCTTCTGGCACCGGACGTTGCCTAGCGGCGCGGGAAAGGCGCGCCCGATCTTGGCCTCGGCGGCTGCCACCGTGTCGAATGGCTCGCCGTAGCCCGACTGGAGGTAGCCGCGGATCAGGTCCATGGACGGGGCCTCCACCTCAGCGCGCTTGTCGGAGGAGGGCGGTTGGCCGTGAACGCGTGGGAGCCCGTGCCAAAATCACTGGGCTCCAAGGTGCTGGATTACAGGGGAGGCGATGCCTTGGCCGTAGGCCGCGTCGGCGCTTGCGCTTGGCCGCCCAGCGTGCCGATGCCTGGCAGGGGCGCGCCGCGCATCTCAGCGATCTTCTGGAGGAAGCGCCGTAGCGTGGACTTCTGGAGCGCTTGCAGGGGCATGTTTTCAACAACTGTCTCGTCCAACGCCGTAGACAACTCACAGAAAGAGGTCGACAGCAAATCGTCGACCGTGAGATTGCTGATTCTGCCCCTGGGCTGCTCCACGCACTCTCCGAGGAGGTCCGGGTCGAAGCCGATCGTGTCCGCGATCGCGGAAACCACCAGGAGGCCACGTACCTGCTGTGCTTGCTCTGAGGGCGCACGTTCGGACGCAGCGCCGTCCAGGCCGCCCCCTGGCGCCGGGACCGCCGTAGCCGCAACCAGCTCATCGCCCCAGATGCTGCGGCGGTTCCCTAGTCGGAAGAAAAAACTTGGGTGACCGAGAGCACGAAGGTAAGCTCGAGAGCGGAGCTCGAGAGCGGAGCCCGAGACCAAAATTGCCATGGACGTGCGAGCGCCATGTGACTCCAGGCATCCGCTCCACTCCTGCACCCTTCTTTCCTTTCCTCTCCTCGTCTCC